AACGTGCCGCAGCTCCAGAGCCTGCAGTGTGTCTGTGTGCGCGTGCAAGGGAAGGGAGTCGGAGCCTGGCCGGGCATCTGGCCAGCGTGGGCATGGGAGGTGCATGGGTGCCCCTGGCAGGTGCTCTGGGGCCAGCGTGTGCTGGGCCCTGCTTGCCCTGGACGTCTGCGCTGCCCGGCACCTGGTGGGGAGCTGTGCCATCGACCCCTTGTGCCCCCAGGAGCTGGAGGTCCAGATTTCCCTTCCCTGCCTTGCTCTGTCCCAGCTGCTGCCTTCCCTGTGTGGCAGTGCCCTGGGCTGTGTGCCTGGGTTGCTATCCTTGCACCCACAGCTGCATGGCCTGGGCACTGGAGCAGCATCCAGCAGCCTCCTGGAGGATGAGGAGGGGGCCAGAGGCCTGAGCAGGGGCTTGGACCTCCAGGCAGAGGGTCTCTGGGGCTCGCATCCCCTCTCTGTCCAGGGCTGGGCTGTGGGTGAGGGATTGGCTCTGGCTGGAGCTGGCGTTGGCACTGTGCCCTGTGTGCCCTCCCCTGGTGCTGACGGGCGTCTCTCTGCAGGGATCCGCTCCTGGGACATCGATGTGGCTGCCTGCAACCTCGACGAGCAGCTGAAGCTCTTTGTGTCCCGCCACTCGGCCACCTTCTCCAGCATCGTGAAAGGTGAGGCTGGCGCCTGCTCCAGGCGCAGAGCCCCGCAGCTGCATCTCCCTGCTGGGAGGGCGCGAGGGACCACCCGGGCCCCTGGGATGCTGCTACGCCTGGCTGGGGCAGCCTGTTGGCAGTGGGGCTAGGGGAGGCATCGCGGCAGGGTCTGGGGGCCCTCGCTGGGCTCAGGCAGCGCAGCTCGGACTGCTGCCAGCACCCTGGGCAGACAGGCCTCGTTCCCGGGGCAGGATGGAGGCTCTCCAGACTCGAGCACGAGTCCTGCTGCTCTCTTCTCCACGGGACCGTAGCTCAGCTGCCCTGCCGGCCCCGGGCACAGGCAGGAGAGAGGAAGGCTTTGCCGCAGCCCCTCCTTCGGCGCAGGGAGCGGACCCCCTTGCTCCGCCTGCATTGGCCCAGCCTGGGCAAACATTTAGCTGGGGCCATAAAGCCGCCTTTGTGCTAAGCGGCGGCCGTGCTCCTCAGCGCACCCAGATGCTCTCATTCATCTGTGCCCTGCTCTCTGGGAGCTCCCAGCCCCGGGGCTTTGGCCCAGCGCCACCTTGCTCGTGTCCGGCTCGTGATGCCTGCCCCCCCGGCAGCGCCAGGCAGGAGCTCCCCTTGCTTTGGACCCCTGTGTTGGGGGGAGAAGCTCTTGGGGTCCCCCACAATGCTGGTTGGGGCTGCGGGCTTGTCACAGGGGCTCTGAGGCTCCTGCCTGGATAGGGAGGGGCAAGGTTTTCTGATGCTGCAACCTGCAAATTGGGACTGGGGCATGGCAAGAGTGATTTTGGGGGGGGTTCCTTGGGGGTTACGGTGCCCATGGACTTGGGTCTGCTGACCTGGAGGCCCCTTCCCTGAGCCTGCAGCCTCTGCCAGGGAACAGGCCTGGCTTTGTGGCAGGCAGCTGCTGCCGGAGCCAGTTGCTGGGGGTGGGGGGAGGATGCGACCTCCTGCCCCAGCCTGGGGGCAGCTCAGCATGTGGTGTGGGGTGCGGAGCCCTGGAGCCCCTTGTGCAGCTGGGG